CACCGAATCAGTCAGTCTAACGTAGCCGAAAATTTCTTTTCCACGAAATCTTATGTTTCCCAGCGTCTATCACAAATAAATTTACTGAGTTTTCGAATTCGAAGAGCTTTCTTAGTTTTTTTTTTTTGAGTTTCGCGCACAACCAGTAGTGAGCTAGCAAGAATAAAATTTCCATTATGTTCGGTATCTTCCAGTGTCCAACATAAATTCGCTGTGTTTGGCAAAGAACTCAACCGGTTCTGTTTCCGTTTTTCTCAACAGCATCAACAATAGAAAAATTTGAAAAGAACTTGAAGCCAGTTAGTTAGCACAACTCCAAAAAGTTCTTCTTGCTAGTTAATTTCTTCTAAGCTTTTCACAATTTGTCATAAAAATCACAGCATCTTGCGGAGCACCTTCAGGATATGTTTGCTTCTTCGAATTCTTCCGACATTTTCAAAATCAACGATGTTAGTTAACTATAAGCGCTATTGTATCGGAATTTTCAGAGTCCGCAGTGGATTTGTTTCTCATCTCCTTAGGCACTCAATCTAACTTGCATAATACAAAGTATCAATCCAAACGCATTCCGTTCGAAGAACGCTTGTAACGCAAATTTGCAGACAAAGATGGGACACGTATTTTGATACCCGAATCCACAAACACTTCGTCTTCCCATCTCAACGCTTTCCTTCTTGATGAGCTGCGATTCTCTCGCAGTCCTTTTTGCCTCATCTGGCTCATATACCGCACAGTGTCACGCGATTTTGGCGGATTTCCTGGCTTCCTTCTGTAAACAGCCGAATTCATGATGAACAGACCGAAGCAGCGGCTTCCTTGCAGTTCTCTTCTTTCCATCTGCCAATTTTCAGGTGCCTGAAACTGAGTTCCTGCGCACCATCCTTCATCAGCTGCTTGCAAATCCTTTTGCGCGCAATTGCACCATCCGTATGATTACGTCGTCATCCCCCGCTCAATGCGATTCAGCCGGGGCAAGCAGATACTTTCCATGCAGCTGCTTAAGCCGCGTCGCCCGCAAACACTGGATCATTTCATCAAAAATTAAATTTTTATAGCGAATTCACAGGCAGACTTGGAAAGTGTTCGCGAATTTGCATGCCATTTCGGCGGATTTGCAAATGTATCATGTGAAATGCCAAATTTATGTAAATGTTTCACAGAAATTATTACCTTCTGCCCACTGTAACAGCTTCCGAATTGTCCAACACGTAGAACATAAACCAAAGCCCCCAGCGAATTCCCTTTTCTGCTAGAGCGAAAGCACTTGAAGGCAACATTCGCCAACAGCAACAATCTGCTGGCAAGGCTGGTCGATGGTCCCTTTTTCGAAGTGTTTTTAAAAGCAAGGCGTTCCCAACTCATTTGATAGCACGAAATTTGGTAAGCCTTCATTAATTTGAATAACGTTGCCCCTCCATCTACGCCATGTTGTGACATTCGTAGGCGCTGCGTC